TCCACAACCAAGTATACTTTATCCAGCAAAGCTATCATTTAGAGTTGAAAGACAGATAAAGAGCTTCCCAGACAAAAATAAGCTGAAGGAATTTATTATCGCCACACCATAGGAAATGTTGGAGGGACTTTTTTAAGAAGAAAAAATATGTATCAAAAACAGGAATAAAAAATGGTAACAACTACATTCCTATCAATAAGTACCTGAAACGGAAAAGAATTAAGTGCTCCAACCAAAAGATAAGACTGGCTGAAAGGACAAGAAAACAAGGCTCCTACATATGAAAAGGAAGGGGATGGAAAATGATATTGCTTTGATGGACCTAGAAGGTATTTAAGTCAGACAGAGAAAGATAAACACTATATGATTTCACTTATATGCAGAATCTAAGGAATAAAAAGAACAAACTAATCAAAAACAGACTCACAAATACAGTGGACAATTTGGTGATGGACAGAGGGGAGGGTGGTTTGGGGGGCTTCGAAGAATGGGGTGAAGGGTTAAAGAAGTACAAATCAGCAGCAGATGGACGGTCATGGGGATGGGGAGCACGGCATAGGGAATGCAGTCAGCATTAATACATTGGCTAGGTGGAGGGTCAGGGGAGGGAGGGAGTAATTGGCGTGATCATTTTATGAACTATATAGATGTCTAACCAATGTACTGTATACTTGAAACTAATTTTTAAAAAATTGTACCTTCATTAAGTTGATTACAAAAAAAGTCATCATTTTCTACAACCATTCCAATAAGCAGAGTATACATGTGATAATAAAACCAATGTCCTGGTAACCTGATAATAGTGGCTCTCGTTTTGCTCTAATCTGTGCATGTAAGTACATTACCCTTCTACAAATGCATCCAGTTTAGCCAGTTCGTCCGACAAACCAACCAAGACATCTAGTGTGCCAACCTAGAAGGGAAATACACCATTTTATTACCTAGGTTTCACCTTTTTTTTTTTTTTTTACAAGATAATACAACATCTTTATTTAAGTGCCCATAAATCTTATGTTCTCCATTTTTTATCTCTTAATGTGCAAGTGCAGTTAAAAAATGTTTGCCAGACATTTCAAAGCTATTTAGAAGATAATCCTCTAATTCATGGGTACAACCTCCATTTAAGATATGAACATTCTGCAGTGGCAGGCTATGCCTCTGCCTGTACTGCCCAGTGATGGTGAATCATCGGGAGACATGGTTTACAATGGTGGCTCTTAAGCAGGGGTCCATGACTGTGCATCGGAGTCGATAACTGAATTTATATGTAAAACTGTATGCGTGTAAATGAACACACTCAGGAAGAAATGTCCACAGTCTATATCAGTGTCTCAAAAGAATTCAAAACTCCCAGAATATTAAGAATCAGCAATTTTAAGTATTTTGACATAAATAAGTGCTGTGTATAACTGCCTCACTTAATCAGCAAAAATAAAAATATTGCAATCTTTTCCATTCTTTAGAAAAATTCAATCAATGGATTACTGGGAGCCTGCTTCCCTTTGAGGCTGCTAGGTTACTGACCTTTAATAAATGTTAAATAGATTAACAAATTAATTAATTCAGTTAAATTTGCAAAGTATGATTAAAGAGGTACAATGGTAAAACATTTACGACATTAGTAAGCATTATATGAATTTAATAACAGAAAAACGAATTCATTGTGATATTTAAGAATATATATTACTAACATTGTTCACTTCTGAAAAGTGTAACATATCTAAATGTAACATATCAAATATTTTCATAAGATTTCTCATTACAATTTAAATTACAGCTTAGTAAAGCACAAAAGTTTAGAAAAAATACTTTATATTGGTAGTTTACTTCTAAAATCTCAATGTTCTCATTATCTAAAGCTGAAGATTGGAAAGAACAAGATAGGTTTTAAATCATGCCGACGGCTAGAGAAGAAACCTGGATATCTAATTTCTACTAAAAGGTAAGCAGAGATACACTGTTCTCCCTTTCACCATGAACTCATACACTATTTTGCACAGTGCAGTTTTACCTTTAAGTCAGGAATGTTGAACTTTGAAGTAATAGCAAGATTATTGTTCTTTGTAGTTGCCGCATGCAATTTCTCCCATGTTTGCTGACATGTTTTCTCTCCAGGAGCTGATATAAGCCAGAACTCAGTCATGTTTGTTACTAGGTATTTCTTCCCAAATCAAGAGAGACACTGAAATATAAAACGAGCAAACCAAAAATTAATATCATTTGTCTCTAAAGTATTTCAGAGTCACAGGATCAGTGATAACTATAATCTATCGTAAAATCAGTCTAACATTGATTTTATGATCTTATGACATATGATCTTAGACAAAATCAAATTTACTTACCTGGAAGTAAATTCATGTAAGTGGTAAAAGGTGATTTATTTATGATACTATGAAAAAGAGATGATAAAGACCTAATACATGAAGTATCTAATTTTTTTTAAAAAAATTACAAAACATCCTAAAATGGGAATTATTAATAAAAATTAGACTACCCAAAATACCATCAATAGTTTCATTCCACAAAAGTCGGTGAATCACAAATTTATAGGTTTATCTTAAACTTTCAAAACATAAACCAAAATAGGAAATTAAAAAAATGCATAACTTTTATCTTTGAGAAAGAACTGAATCAATGCATTTGAACAGTAGCTACCAAATAAATTTGCCACATCTGGCTTAGCAAATCCTACAAAGTTAGCCAAATTGGTGATTAATTTCCAACCTAAGGGAATCTTCTCAAATCCCTGGCATATATTTAGGTGCCATCAAACATTTATAAATTTGCAAAAAAAAAAAAAAAATCTTGCCAATTGACTTTGTATTTAAAAATATGACCTTTGGGGTCAGCATTATTGGATCTGAGAGAAGCTGTGGATCTCCTTTTCCAAAGATTTCCACTAAGATACAACCAACCCTCATCTATAGTCTTTCTTCCTCTCCCTACTGCCACATGAAAAAAACTCCAGAGCCAAATCTATTCAGAATCTAAGTAAAGCACACAAACCCAAAAGAACTCATAAAAATTAAAGCATAACAGTATCATTATTTCCACTAATAGGCCTTCATTAGAACAAACTAAACACTATAAGCTTTCTACTACCACTGCTTGTTTAACTTGTCCTGGAACTTGGAGTCTATCTTGGATAGCAGATGACTATCTTACAAAGTTGTCTTAATAACGAAATCAGATAATAAACTTCATAAAGAACTTGATAAATTTAAATGTCCTTGAAATGTAATTACAGTTAATCATAATGGACTTTCATAATCTCAGAAGCCCATTGCAATTAAGGTAATCCTACCTAGTCATTACATAATTGAAAGTGAACTTCACATAGATGCTATTCTATACACTTATTTTTTGAACTTTAGTTTGTAAAGCATCTACCATATATCAGGTACTGCTAAATGTACATTATTTTCCCAGGCTCTACAAGATACAAATCATCCTCCTCATTTACAGATAAGAAACTCAGAGAAGGTAAACTGGTATAAATTTAGACGGTATTAAATGAGTATCAAGAATTGTACTCTGAGATGATTTTTCCAATAATACTGATAAAGTTGCACTAAGAGCTACACTCAAATGGTCAAACTAAACTAAACACAGACATTTTAGTGATGGCTAGACCAGAAAAAGCACTCAGTCTGGCCAGAAAACAGTACAGCTTAACTGGCCATCCAAGGATGGAAGCCACTCAAAGCACCAAGTTCTAAGGAGGCCACCCAAAGAAAAGCTTTGATTTGAAAAGAAAAGCAAAAACTAAAATCCTCACTAGTCTATATGAGAAACTTCAAATGTTAAACTTCAAAGCTATTATATAAATATAATTTTACTTGTATTCTTTTCCAACCTAATTTTTTTCAATCTATTTTTAATATTATTCATGGTGATTCATATAGATGTACTTCATTAATTTTAAATGCTATAATTCTATGAGCAAACTAAAATTTATTATCCTCTGAAAGGATAGTTATATTGTTTTACCTTTTTGCTATTATAAACAAGTCTGCAGTGAACAACTTTGTAGTACATATCTGTTTGAGTTCTCTAGGACAGTTAGGACAGTCAGAGAACAGCTAAACTGAAGAGTATGACAACATGGTAGACTATCTTCAAAGATGGAGGCAACATGTCATTCTATGCTCTTATGCAATGTGACTGCCACTTCTGCCATCGAAACGTGAAGTCACTTTCCCTTCACCTTGAATCTGGGCTGGCTTTGTTACTTGCTTTGACCAACAAAACACATGAAGTCACACTATGTAAGTTCTAGGCCCAGGCCTCAAGAGACCTTGAAAACCTCTAGTTGTTTACTTGGTGGCTGTTCTCAGACCACCATGGAAGGAAGGCAGTCTAGCCTACTATAAGATAAAAGGCAGAGAAAGGACAACACTGTAGCTGACAGCCAGCATAAACTGCCAAACATGTGAGTGAAGCCATCTTGAAACTTTCAGCCCAGCCAATGCCCCAGTTGAATGCAGCCCCATCAATGAGCACAACAGAACCACCACCAAGACAACCCACAGAGCCAGGAGAAATAAGAAATCACTGTTTTAGGCACTAAATTTTGGGGTGGCTTATTATGAATCATAAGATAATTGACAAAGACCATCATAGACTCCACTGGGTATTGTCAAATTGTTCTCCAAAGCAGCTACCAACATAAATTCCCACACGATGGTATCCATTGTTAATAACTATATACTTAAAGAAAGTATAAAAACATGCATAGCTGTGTACATAAGATTTTATTTCTTTAAAAAATATCTGGGGCAAATATGGCAAAATGTTAAATCTGGGTAGTGGGTATGTGGATGTCTGTTAATCTGAAATATTTGAACTTTTTCTGTATACTTGAAATATTTCAAAATAAAATGTTTTAAAACCTGTTACAAGAAAATTTATAATAAATAGAACAATGCTTAAAAAAGTATACAAATTACAAGTTTAGTGCACTTTCAAATGGAATAGCCAGAGAATAGTCTAGTTACCAAATTAATTCTCTAAGCAAAACTTTCAGTTTTAACCCTAGAGAAATGCTTTCCACTCTGTTTACAGCCTCTCATGACCAAGTGTAATATACTAAACACAGACCTTTTTGATGTTTCAGGATTTTTTAAAGAAGTATTTTCAGGTCACTGTATTTAACAATTCTACTTGTATGATGTTGCAAAGGTAAGATCTTGGGCTACACCTGTGCTGACACCAGAATCTACCTAAGTAGCTTTTTAAATTAAATTCCTCCTAATAGAATGGTGCAGGTCTATCATCTGCCTTCCTGTCATCCACTGTTCCTGTTCTCCACTGCACCCGGGTCACCTCACCTAAACTGCTCCAACGCTTGCTACCTTTTCACTTTCCTTTGACCACTTTGACCTTGGCTGTTCCTTTTCTCTGGTCTCCTCCATCCAACATTCTTGCACTTATCAAATCTAGCTTTTTTTAGACCAAACACCAATCACAGGACTACCTTGAACTTTAAAATTCTCAGTTAAGTCCAATAACATCTTTAAACCTCTTTTAATAATCCAGATATTCTAATTGATAGTAGTTTTGGAAAACTAAGGTTATTGTAATTATTTATACAAGTGGTTCTGTTAAACAAAACATATTTGATGACACATTTTTATACCTTCTCTCCCAAACATGACAGGCAATGAAAGCAATTAAGTTCTTGATGATACTATTAAATTATCTAAACGGCAGCTTCTTCAAAGACTGTAATAATATGAGCTATTACAGTAGATGTCACTATCATACCATTTAGAGCTCTAGAAAATCTTTTTCATCCAACAGATTTCCAAAGGATTTCAAGAAATCAGAAAGGGGATCCCATTTTCTCATCTGTAAATACCTGCCCTATCCTACTTCACTGAGTTTTTGTCAGGATCAAATGAAGTCATGTCATGATCATTCTAAACAAAACTGGAGTGTAGAAATGTTTAGAAATGTATAGAAAGTTCTCTAATTCCATCTTTTTCCTGGAGCCCTCTCTAAAGTTTGTTTGGTGATAAGGAGGAAAAGACGTCTTCTATGTTTGGTACTGCGTTATATACTTCTCATACATTATCTTAATTCTCATGCCAACCCTGTAAGCTAGGTAGTAATATTCAGAGAGGTTAGTGATTTACCAAGGTCACACAACTAGCAGATGGGGTTCAAATCTCGTTATATTTGACAGTAAAGACCATGTTCTTTCTATTGTCATACTAGAAGAGAATGTTCTGCACTCAAGCCCCCCTGAGCTCTCCTATTTGAAGAGAGATCCACATATAACCATAAACACTTTCAACCTATGTTTGATCCCAGGCTCAGAGCACCCTATAGGCCTAGTGAATTCTGCCAGATAAAGGGATTTGGGCTTCCTTTCTCTTTTCCTTTCATCCAGAATCATCACAATTTCTAAAACAGCATCGCCCAGCGTCCAAAACAATCCTATTTCCTTGAAGAAACAATGATTCCTCCTAACAGAAAAGCATTTTTTTTTTTTTTTAATTAGAGATTCAAGAGACCTGGAGATCAAGAGCACAAATTTTGGAGTCTCACAATAGTTAAAACCCCAACTCTATCCCCTTACTAGTTTTCTCATCTGTAAAGTGGAATACTATATAAATCTATTCACAGAGCTGCTGGAAGGAATGAATAAAATGATACACCTAGATCTCTTTCAGTCAACCTCCCTTCCTGGTGGGTAGGGGTGACTGTATTATCTGCTGCTCCAACCCATCCTACCTCCAAAGGCTGTTCCCAGTATCCCAGGTGGGAAATATCTTGTTTATTTAATGTCTTACAAATGCCATTAATTATGCACTTATCCTATTCTCCTCCTCTTTTTTTTATAACATGCTTTCCTCTCCACCATACTGAGAAATCCTGAAGGGCCTGAATTCTACTTCTCTGAAGCCTTAAAAGCCAGCATATACAATTCTTGCCAACAGCAGGAACTTAATAAAGGCTTGTTTTATGAATAAATGAAATGTAATTATAACAATGACTGAATTAATCAAAAAGTCTGATTAGAGAAAAAAATAAGGGTCAAGAAAAATCACTTTTTTTACTTAGAGTCTTTTAAAAAACAAATTCAAAAATTGGTAAGTTGCAGGTTTCTAAGCCTCTGTTTTTTGCTAGTTTAAGGGTGAATACAGTCAAAAAAATAGAAGAGAGGGCTTGGGGAAA